TTTACGAAGATCAGTTCTTCGGAAACTTCAACGGAGCCAGCACGGTCTAGTATTCTGTGAAGTTAAGACAGAGAGAGAGGGACGAGAAAGGAGCGTAACGATCAAGAAGAGCAGGACAGAACGCAAAACAACAGGTGCAGACCTTGAACAAAGTGTGTGTGTGTGTGTGTGTGTTCAAAGCGGAGTTCATGAACGCGTACATGTTTGCGTTTGAACAGGTGCGTTTTAGCATCTGGTGCCATCCCGAATTCGAATGTGAGAAAAAAGCTGGCGCGAATGGAAACGGGCGTGATGAGCACACAACAATTCACAATAGAGACCTGTATTTAATTCGACACCGGCGCAAGCCTAGGGTTGGTTTTCGATAATTCAATAGAAAAAGATTTTAAAAAGCGAGTATTTGGAACCCGGAGCAGTGAAAGGGAAACCTGATCAAGCGCACATGACGCAATTTTAGTTTGTTTAATTATCATTTAGAAATGCACTATGAACGTCGAGGTATTCACCTATAATACCATATTGATTTGAACTGATCACCCTCTAAACTTCACCTCCGGGCACGCACATTATTCAGCTTTTTCAGTCAATCATACTCTCAAAAGCACCAGACACGAGTTTGACTCTTACTGTAGTCTATCAGTAGTGCACATTAATCGTCCTGTCCGGGCTTTGAACTTCGGACCCAATGCATGAAAGGCGTATTACCACTGTGATAATCAGGGTTAAACCGAATTTCCATGTTTGTTCAGGTGTCGCCTTCAGTGATAGTCAGTCACTTCATTTCGACCCGATAGCAACTTGATTTAAACGTCCTTTGTAGAAAATAGGATGTTACCTAAAAGCATTATTCTTCAGCAGCCATCAGGTAAACAGTAAAATCATTCAAGTATCAACCGCTATAAGCGAGAACCCTACTTATCGAACGTAAAAGTAGGTTATAAATTATCACGCCGAATTATGGTTTGTCAACGCCATTGTACCGATCAAGTCGTAGGCTTTGGTCAGGAATATCATCAGTGAGGCACGTACCTATAAGCTCATTTCGTGTCAGGACAAACAGATCCTTCATGACGGTAGCAGTTACAAGACAACACAGAATGCGTTAGTGGCTGTTGATAGTCCACCAGTAGATGTTGAACGCAAAATCGAGCCAAACCAAAATATTACCACACACACACGCACACACGTCGATGAACTCAAGCACAAACGTGCTTTCGAAGAGATCAAAATGTTCAGTGACCTAACTGATAGTATATGAGTCGAAAGATATGAAGTCAATCAGTGAATGCTGTATGTGAAAATCACCGACAGTTGGATGACCACACAGTCGGTGGTGAATTGTTTCATTTATGCAATAACTTGCGTTAATGACATAGTGATCATATTTAACATATCCACAAAGCCTGAAACCGATACGAGATGTGTCGAAAACATCTAAAACATCCTCAATGAGAGAGAGAATAGTTTTTTGTTGCGACGGAAGTGGGCGAAAGTTCTTTTATCCAGAGCATTAATGTCCAATCGCACTGTCACTGGAAGTCTCCGACTATTGGCTGTTTTAACATTCAACAATGCGCAACAGAGGGCACAGATATCACCGGTGGAATTTGTGATCTAAGAGATTTGCTTTTCATCGTGGCATCACTAAGCAAACCAATATAACATGAAAGTTTGTGGATATACTCAAATGGGGGAAATAAAAAACTAAATCAGAGTGGGAATAGCCGGGAATATAGTTGATGATGAACAATCTTTACATCGCATCCAATACTTCTCTCTGTCACACACACACACACACACAATTGCATTACATGACAAATCCCTCTGTGCACCTCGATTTCTTCCCAAATAAAATTTAGAACCGATCGCGAACCAGCCAAAATTTCGAAATCATATAGCCAGATGGAATTTGGAAAAACATTTCGCCCATGTGGTCCACTATTCCCCGTATCCATAACACTGTTTGCTTTCATGTTAACCCTGTTGCACTTTTTGCCCTGAGAGTACAAATATCCGACTGGAAATCCGTGATCAGATCTCACGGAACCGTTTGGAAATCGCATTTCCAAACTAAACTGATTATATCACGAAGCTCGTGTGTGTGTGTGTGACGAGCAGCAGACAGAGTAAAGTACAGCAGCATGCGGACTTCGGGTTTGTGAAACGTGGAACAAGATTAGCTAATCAGTTGGAAAACAACCACACACGGTGTATGATATGCGACAGAATTGGTCAGTTCACTAACGGGGGGGAGGGCAAATATATAGGTTACGAAACGATGATGCAGCTCGAAAACATTTCCCTTGATACACGTAATCAGACAATATTTTCGTGTATCCGTATCTCGAATGCTGACTGGGCTCACACCATACGATGGATGACATTTGTGTGTAAATTTGATTGAAATTATTTAAGGATGAAATAAGCACAAATTTATGATGGTTGTCAAACGCGCTTTAGACAAAATTACGTAGATGATACATCGCACTAAGAACATGTATATTTCTATGTAATCTCACTCCCATGGATGATTGTTCAGTAGTATGATAGTCAGGGAGCAATAGTGTAGTATTATGATTCCAAAAAAGCGGTGCTCGGTTGAGGATAGCTGTTTAATGTGGACTACAGTTGGGGTATCACTAATTTGGCATACGTAACACAGAAATCTCATCGGAAACACACTATCGCAGGTCCTGGCAGCATGCCGGGTAATGAATGTAACAATCGATAGTTATGCTGTGAGATGCAGCAATTTTCCCTCGGTGGTCTTCTTAATTTTTGATCATCGAAAGGAATCAATAACTACTTTCCATACTACTCACAACAGTAGTACAATACCACTCACAGGTGACACTTGACTTGAAGCATCTATCCGGATCATGTGACGAATACGAAAATTTATTCTTAAAATCCAAACGGTTATACGAGAATAAAAAATAGTGAAGCACGATCGTGAGTTGATGAAATCGTCAAAACAGACAATCAGGCCGATTCAATCCCCCAACCCTAGTTTCAACCAGTATAGCGAATGCGAACCTGTTCCAGATTGTGAGAACCACTCGCATGCGCCAAACAAAGAAGTGCAAGCAGAACAAATGACCGGGCTGGAACAAAAAAGGGACGGTGCATGGACAGTGCAATTAAAAGAACAACAACAACCACAACAACAACAATCGCGAACAATCGATTGACTCTGGAGGATGTGGGCTGTGCAACTGTCACGCGCGGGGTGCAGTGCAGGCGAATTCCTAAATCGTATACGATCTGAATGCTCCGGGGCCTGAAAAATTGCGTGGGCCTAAACGTGCCGGGAAAAACGACCAATCATACAACACTAAACAACCGATCCGGAAATGAAAACAAATCAAATTTGAAAAAAAACAATAGGACACAGATAATACACGGTAAACAATCAGGATGAAAAAAGCGAACTCATTGAGAAACATAACGTGAAAATAGGTTATCGTGGATCATGCATTCACGTGCACACATAGATAGGTACGTTGTTAGACTATGTGCGTGCAGTGCAGCTATTGCGCGTCACGTGATGACTGACTGACTGAACCCATGACGGTGGTGACGAGAAATAGCAACAACAACAACAACAACATCAGTTGAACATGCACAACCACGAGCAAAACTACCTCAAAATTTGTCCGCTGCAATAAATAAATTTTGATAGAAATAAATAGGTGAATAGATTTTGAAAGTGAATCACGGCACACTGATCGAGTGAATGACAGCGAAGTAGGATAAATTTAAATCGAAAAGCTGAACGAATAAGAGCGATTAAAACCATTAGTGATGAAATGTGCGGAAAGTGTTCCAGCCAATTACCTAACGGGAAGAAGAACTATGCAGATGGAGGTGGTTTTCCAAATGTGTGGGAGAGGGAAAAGATCCCAACGGAACGGTGTGAATCGGTCATTTTACCGATCTTCGAGAAACATGACAGATCCTCTTGTGAAAATCACAGACGAATTAGTTTAATCAGCATCGTCTCTAAATTTTTCGTTGGTGTTATACTTCGTCGAGTGTCTGCCCCATGTACACCGTGTACGCGCGAGAACCGGGCTGGTTTTAGACCCGGACAACGTTGTATCGACCACGTAGTTACTCTTTGTTAAATTCTAGAACACAGACACTCCTTTTTTAGACCCACCATTTCTGTCTTTCTCGATCTGAAAGCGGCTATCGACTCAGTCGACCGCTCTAAACTCTGGCACTGCCTAGCTCGACAGGGTGTGCTCGAGAAGTTTGTTTCAATAGTACAAACCCTTTAGATCATTAGCCGAAACCCAGTCCGAGCTCACGGCACTTTTTCACGCGAGTATGCAGACGACATTGTGCTATAAAAGTGAAGATCCAGGTAAGTTGCAAGCTTTTCTGGATAGCTTGAGTGCCAGCGGAGCCATGTTCGGTATGCGCTTTGCATCCTCAAAGTGTAAACTTGTACTGCAAGGTTGGGTTGGTCCAGCACCGTCTCATCCTGACTGGGGAACTAGTAGGCGAAGTGGAAAAGTTTCGCTGTCTGGGCAACTAAATCTTACCTGGCGGATGCAGCACAGATGAAGTGTGGGCGCGCATACAGAAGGATCGATTGGCATTTGCCAAACTGACGCATCTGTGGTGCCGTCGTGACAACCGGTTGTCTGTGAAGGGTCGAGTATATGCCGCAGCAGTTCAGCCAGTACCGCTCTAAGGTGCAGAGACTTGGTCACTACGGGGAAGGATTAAAACACATTGTCGGTGTTCGAACACCCCTGTTTACGTCACAGTGCACGAATCTGGTGGGGTAACCGAACGAGCAACCAAATATGTTGCCAAGAAGAGTGATGTTTGCCAAGGCAGGTAGCGGTTGGAAAAAGATCAACGGTGGTAAAACGAAGACCTGCGATGAGGGTATAAACCCTAACCAGGAGACTAGGTCACATAGGCCCCGTTAGGCTCCCTGGCTGGGGACCTCACCCTAACCAGGAGACTAGGTTACATAGGCCCCGTTAGGCTCCCTGGCTGGGGACCTCGGAATGATGATCACCGATGGTTAGAGACACTGAGTGGTATGGCTGAGTGTCGCAAACAGTGGCGCTCGTACATCCACCTATTATTCCCCAAACTTTTATGAATTGTCCATCTTCCGCTTGAATTTGCTTTCAACATTCCAATCTCCATTTTGATCTTTTATCTAAGTGGGCAGCAAAAAGACAGCAAACAAAATTGGCGCACGAAAATGCATGATTCATGGTTGTAAAAACTGAACTGAATTATCTAGCGTATTTTGCTGAATAGTAAAAACAGTAAATCCCATGGTCCGGTTATGGGAACAGGCAAACGTAAGTTCTCGGCCCTGGAGGTGGTGATCAGGAACACTACTATCACCAATCTAGAGTCTTTGTGATCAGAAGAGAAATAAACACAAATATTGAAACAATAATAATAAGAACCAAACCAAACCAGTTGATCCAAAAAGGAGGACTGAGCGAGGAATTTAATGAACGACAACTGCCTGTCATTTTCGATCTGCGCACATGGGCATATCAGGCCTAATCAATAGAACCCAGAGGGGTCGATTCGGGCATCAAGTAACCGTGCCAATCATATCGATCTTTAAGGATCGACCCTAGTCCGATTGACCAAAACATGCGCAGCTATAGCTATTTTATTAGGAGCAAATTATGTTAGAGGGAGAGTCGTGTTTGTTATTCAACACGGATGAACATATGGAGTACGCAAGGAGCAGAACACACGACGAAATTGAACTGCAACCTTCGGCAAGTAGAAATTTTCGTCTGTTTGTTCGGCAAGCAGATTAACAGAACAAATTGAGCATAACCGATCAACACGAGCTAATACCCCTATACAATTAAAACATCCAAAATGAGCAGAGGAAAAAAAACATTGGATGGTGAGAAAAATGGACCCCTTCACCCCCGTTCCATGATCTGAATACTGCAGGGTTGTCCAGGCCAAGACAGGTGAATTTTCTTGAGGAATCCACAATCCACACCTTTGGCTAGCCAAAGACTGACCGGGAACGCAGCGGAGCGATATGTGAAAACCGAAATCCATTGGCGGCCAGTTTCCAGTTCATCGGATTATACGCTCTTTGGACAGGGTCAAAAGTCCAAGGTGCCCAATACAGCTCGATGCCCAATCGAGCCGGTTATGGAACGTTTTTCTTTTCTATAAAGATTATTGTACCATGCTTTCTTTGGCACACAGTCCGGATTCAGACGTGACTTCACTAAGGTCTAGGTTTAGTCTGGAAAACCATTATTCATGCACGTTCGTGAGCCAGTTTGGTTGCTGTCTTTTGATTGTCGATTTGGGTGAAATGGACAGAAAGAGATTGGGAAGTCGAAGACGAAGCCGGAGAGAAAATGAAAAATTTGTGCAGATTAAGGTTGTAAAGAAACTGAGAAGATGCACGAGAGTTGCTGTTCACGACATTCAAAGTTTCTAACCATTTATTATACTTAATCCATTCATCAAGAGTGCCTAAATAACCAAGTCTTCCGGGCAGCGTTTTCAAACCCTCATGCCAGGTCTAAGCTTGACCACTCCTCATTTGTTGCGCCACCCAACACTTGCCGCGGCAAACATAGCGCGCCATAAAAGGTTATTTGACAGAAAAAGATCACGACTGGAGCAGTTGTGAGCAATCTCGCTAAACTTGAAAGCCACGACATAATTTTGGTACACTTAATTCAGGGTGGTTAGTGATCGTGGTGCACAGTTGCAGTACAGTTCTTTACCTTCTGCTGGCAGGAGGAGGACTCCATTTCAAATAAACCGATGGTCTCGAGTGGTTATGGGAATTCTGATCCACATCAAGTATACAATTCAAAAACTGTCAGGTTCTCTACGTTTCTATCGAATGAACTTTTTACTCACGTCGCTCATTTGGCTTGTGTGCAGATTATGCACTGACTTAAACATGGGCGCAATGGACACAACACATCGCATGTAGACAAACTGTCCGGATAAACTGCGAAAACACGCATTCACACCCGAAAATCGCACATGTGGGATTGAACCAAACGCAAGTTCTGTGTATGTCTGAGCAGCGCACGACTGCTTTTGCATTGCCTGCTCAAATAAAACACAATCCAGTCAATAAGAATTTTGGTATCAGATGCGACCAAATGTTGCACATATCACGACATTAAGATCAATGGTTCTACCATATCATGACCGGTTAGTATCATCCCGAGGTCCCCAGCCAGGGAACCTAACGGGATCGATGTGACCCAGACTCCTGGTTAGTGTTTTCATACCATCGTGCCAGGTCTTAGCTTAACCACTCTTCGCTTTTCCACCCACTACCTGCCTCGGTGAACATCGCTCGCAGTGGCAACCTATTTGGTGACATGCGTAACATGCCCCAACCAACGTAATCTATGGAGGTCAACCACGTGCTTCAGTGGACGACCGCGGTTACCTAAAACTCTACGCTTAACCACTGCACTGCTCATTCGATTGCCCCACCAGATTCGTGCAATGCTGCGAAGATAGCGGTGTTCAAACACCGACAGTCTATCTTTGTTTTGTTTTCTTTATGCCCAAGTTTCTGGTCGAACTTCCGCGTCATACACTCGACCCTTCATAGACAACCGGATGTCGCGACAGGGCCACAGATGTCTCAAGTTGGTAAATGCCACACGAGGCTTCTGTATGCGTGGTGACACTTCATCTGTGTTGCGTCCAACGGATGAGATGTAGCTGCTCAAGGAACAAACCTTGTCCTCTTGCTGTATTACATCCTCTGTTGGAGTCAGACTGGGTGCTGGACCAGCCCGACCTTGTAGTAACATTTACACTTTGAAGATTCAAAATGCATACCGAATATAGCTACGCTGACACTCAAGCTATTCAGGAACGTTTGTAACTTACCTGGATTTTTGCTTAGCAGTACAATGTCGTCTGCATGGTCTAGATCAGACAGTCTGCCACCTGGTGTTAAAAGCCTCCTCGCGAACGAGCACAATGTCAATGGAACGACAATCACCGTACACCTGATAATTACGCGCGTGCATTAATCGTTTTATTATGGCACACGGGATTGCAACAAACAGATCGCACAGCGTTCTATTCCTAGCCGTAGCTCTCGGAGTCTCTAACCACCGGAAATCTTTATCACTTGGGACCACCCTGGAAGGCGAGCCGCGCAAACCGAAGCCAAAGCTAAAAATAGTTTCTTCAAACAATTACGGCATATCATGATCTGACCGTGGTGCTACTTCCAACGTTGCCCAGCACGAAAAAGTAGACGATGGGCATGCATAGGCGAAACGTTACCATCCATCGGAGGCGGTGTAGAGCGATTACTTCTGTTAGAGAATAACTATCCGACGAATCTCGTCATTGCTTACCCGATGTTCCCGGCAGACATGGGCAATGCTTCGGAGACATCGGTGTTCGAATACAGAGCGTCGATTAGAATCCTCAACGCGAAGGGGTCAATCTCTCAACCGTAAGGCAGAACGTTATGAACCGCGGCGATGTACACCCTTCTCTGAAGGAACACTCGAATGTCACAGCGGCGCCACAGGTGTAGTAGGTTGGTAAATGCTATCCTAGCTGTTGTTGACCGTGATATGATTTACTCCGCAACACCACCTCCAGCTGCAATGGTGCTCTCAAAGTACTTAAGGCTTCCATCTACTTCCAGCTGGTCACCACAAAGAGTGAGTGCAGGTACAGGCTCCTACCAGCACTTACCACCAAATGGTACAAAGNNNGCATACCATACCTGGATATCTCTATCGCCAAGCGGTTCGAAGCATGGTGTCACCCAACAAGGCGATGTCATTGGTATATTATGGGAGAAGATGGAATCCACCGTTTTACGGAACGTACAAAGCATTTTGCAGAAAATCCTCTATAATAAAGTTGAGACATTTTATTGCACTGTCTTACAACAGAGCCGTGAGAATGCCGTCGGAGCCCGGGGCCTTGTAACGTCCAATGGCTTTGATTTCGCAAATTTCCACCTCAGAAAATGAGTCTATCGAGGCATCATGGCACTTGCATTGGAGCAGCTGACACTGTTTTGAAATGCCCCGTTTATTGTTGACTGTGAATTAGCGAGTCGTCAGCTTTGCATATCGTTCCGCTCACACCCAAAGTTTCCCTACCGGTGACCCGGATGAGAAGGAACAACTTACGGAATTTCCCATGGTGACAGCACGTTCCGTTTCTGGTGCTCGCTGCGTACATCAGATTTCACGGTCTCTTCGTAGGCAGTCGTGTATGCAACCCCGCCGTTTGTGGCTTATAACGATGTGGTCGATTTGCGTTCATCGCTGACTTGGGGAAGACGGACGTCAAGTATCGTACCGGCAGTTGCAAGTTCTGACACGACAATCACAGAACAGAACTATTCCCGATCATCTGGGCAGAACTAGTCGAAAGGGTTAGGAATACAAAGTTAAAGCTTTGCTTATCACAATCTATGCTGCTCCAGCATCCATACGATAATCTTCTCGTTCGTCTCTGTTAGGATTCCGCACTGATGCATTACATTAGGTTGAACTGGTAGGGTATAACAAAATTAGCGGTTGAGTGGGCCAAAATGAGATACAAACAGAGACAAAGTGGAGAACCACGTGGATTTTAAGGGCAATGTTAAAACGAGAAAAGGGTAGGGGGAAATAGTCACGCAGCCGTGATAGGAGAGGAATCGCAATTACCAAAGCCCGTAACAAATATTTACCTCGTGATCTGCTTGCTCGCATCCGGCCGCGAATCGGTCAACTCAATGTTGTGCAAACGTACTTCGACTTCTGATGCACCCGAAACAAATGTCTGCCCCGTTACACCAAGTCGATTCAGTCNCAGTCGACAGAGAGCCAGCTGTAAACTGGGTGGGATTTTCTCATGCCAATCAGACTGTGGATGGGGGTTAGAAGCGAGGAAACGTGTTTACGAAGATAGCCGCGTGTCATAGGGTTTCACGATGTGTATTATTTAAATTACAGTGTTCTCCCGAAAAACGATCAAAGTATGGGACTTACTTACAAGCTAATATTTTTTTGTTCTATAGGATATTTTCACAACAGAATCATTTCAGGGTCAATAATGAGAAACGTCAAATACTACTGACTTGAACGTGGTGACCTTGAGAGGGGCACGATGAATGGCCAACCTTGACCGACAGTAGGAAGTTGGTGTTACAAGTTTCCAAGTCTTTGGTGGTAGGCAACTTTGCTGTCGTCCGGTTCAATACAATGCCTATCCTAGAGAGAGGCCTCATGTGGTTCGCAACTCCAAGTCCCGGGGTTTAAGTAACTGGTTTCCATCACCGGAAAGTAGGTCTCCGTGAGTATGGGGTTTATCCCGTCCGCTGATCATCAAACTAATGTGCGTAATAAAAAATCCATCAACTGCATTGCACCCTTTAAAATAGTTCTTTTTATTACGGCCATCTTGTTCAATATTTTACAACGGAGAACTGATCAAATTATTGATCGATCGCAACTTATGCTTTCTCACAGCTGTTATTCCGTTGTTTGGCACGTCTCTGTCGTTTAACTTTATCGATGTATTAGTCTCTCACAGAATCATTTGGTTCTTTTTATTCGACTAGCTACAAAGAGAAAACAAGTCCGTTTCTCGGATGTCTCTGATTGCGGCTATGTATGCTTTCGGGCCTCTAAGAAGATCGGGACATCTGGAAATCCAGTTGTCAGAAGCGTACGTGGAAAATCAACCCAAGACTTTGTCTATCTACGTGCAAATCAACTGAACTAACTCATTTATTAGGCTGGCCTCCAAGGTGACATTTCAAATCGGATTCTGATAGAAAAAGGATATAAACGTATCACTGGAGGCGTCGGCCTCGTAAAACAAGGACAGACTTTACACATCTTTACTATACTTACAGACGGCAGCGTTTTAAAATACAGGTAAAACGTAATTTTGACCATATATCAGAGGCCTTATAGGTCACCTCATTCTAGATTTTTCGTGTTTTGCACACGCTGGGCAGAAAAAAGTAAGGACCGGCCTAACGCCGAATTGATAAACGCGCGGTTTTGTGCGAAGGCTTATTTCGATGTGTAGCCAGGAGGGTTTCCGAAGTTCCAGGATTACCTCTAGTGTGCAGCTGAAGCGAATTGTGACTGCGCATGTCTTCGCTTGTCCATTGGGTTGATTGGTAGGTAGTAGGTGTTCGAATGTTCCTTCTTCTACGAAAATGGGGTATGATAGGTATGGGGATGTTGTGAACAGCTTCGTTTTTGAGGTGCTTATCTCCCGCCTTAGTATGACAGGGTCACTCCCTGTAGGACAAGATAGACGGTGAAATAACGAATCTGATAGTCAGCCGGGCGAGCAGTGCAGTGGTTAAGCGTAGAGTTTAAGGTAACCGCGGTCGCCCACTGGAGCAACTGGTCGACCCCAACAGATTTCGATGGTTGGGGCATGTTACACATGTCACCAGATAGGTTGCCACTGTGAGCGATGTTCGCAGAGGCAGGTAGTGGGTGGAAAAGCAAAGGGTGGTCAAGCTAAGACCTGACACGATGATATGAAAACCCTAACCAAGAGCCTGGGTCACTTAGGTCCTGTTAGGCTGATTGATCGCGGACCTCGGGATGGTCGTAACCGAGGGTTAGAGACACTGAGTGATATGGCTGTCGTAAACAGTGGCGTTCGTGCATGTTGTCGACTTCTCTGCAACATTAGACAACTGAAATTCTCCATTTTTTGTTCTATTTCACTTACAACTTTGCTGTCTTTCTCATGTTATTCATCCAAATGAGCACCCAAGAGACCGCAACTAAAACCGGCGCACTCTAGTGCATGGTTAATGGTTTTACAAAACTCATTGTGAATTCGAGGTCATCGATCCAGGTTTTGTGATTAATTTGAATTCCTCTATAATGGGCAATTGCATGAGGCACTCGAAAATCTATTACGCAGCTGGAGAGGATTGATGCCAGAGAACCAGTCTGGAAGATGCCGAAAAGAAACCGAAATCCCGTCGACTTTTACCCGAATGGGCACATGCGCCCAAGCACTGAACGTGAATATGAGCTGATCGGCGTAATGCACTTCTCGGGAGTTCCATCGGTAGGTATTAGGCGCCACAGTGACCGCCTACCAACGGAGTCAAATGCAGCGTATAAGTCAACAAAGCGCAGATGGCTTTTGCAGTTGATAGTGATGATCTAGGGTTCGTTGTACGGTAAGGATTTGACCGATACAACCTCCTCCCATAGAAAGCCACACCGGTTTTGATGTGTTCTTGTGTCTCGCGTGCCGTAGCAAAGCAGTTAAACGGAATTGTTTTGAAAACCTTGGCTCCCATCTTGATGAGACTAAAATCTCTATAATTCGCACAATCATTTCATCCCCCCTTGTTGGAACAGGGAAGAGAATCCGGTTCGTGCAGCAGAGTTGACGAAAATAAAAAACACAATATATGCTCTGCTACGAGCGAGATTCTCCCTACGCCTGATAAACAACCGCAGAAAAGCCGCCGAAAACGGATGCCCACAATAC